GTTGGAAATGTTGAGTAAAAGCATTGATCAAATTAAAGGGTCTGAAATAATCCATGTTTATTTACGTGAAGTTATCTGAGGGTGATTGGCAAATTGCAATATAGTGTTTGTTTCCTTGTTTTATGTTTTGTGAAATTAATAAATACTCTGTTATGACGATGTCACTAGCAAATGTTATTGAGACAAACAAAAGATACACTTAAAAGAGTACGGTATCACTGCCTTAGTGCTTGTCCACTCAACAAGCGGGTCAATAATGAGATACCATGATATGGTATTCAACAATTGCATCACCCAATAGATTAGAACTATACGTTTTYGCGGTGGCAATTCCCCKTGCCATCCGGAAAACACCCGAACCACCAACAATCGACATCTCACGATACTCATGTAGCACAGGGTTCCGCCCGAAAAGACTAAGGGTGCTACCATTAACATCCCCATCAGTAAAAGCCAAGTTCATGGTCATGAGAAAGCCAAGGTCGTCCATGGAGGCCGACGCATACATCCCTTGAGCTCGGCCAACCACAGTCGAATTGGATTCCGGCCCAGCGGTCAGCACGTCGTCAGCCATGACCATGTTGCCGAACCCAGTTAACGAGGTGTAACCGCTTGGTTTAGCCACGGTCATGGCGGTCGGGCTGTTGCCACTGACAACATCATGGAAGTAGAAATGAAGCTTGGTCAGCTTTTGTTGCATGGTGGCTAGACCTTTGAACCAATCTTCCACAGCTACAGGATCTTGATCRATGCAGTGTACAAAAGAAAGAGCCAAGAGCAAAGTGGAGCATAGCCTTATTTGCATGCAGAACTTTCCCATGTTAATTGTTTGTGTGTGTTTCAGTGTGTGAAGTTTTGGTTCTTAATAAGGAAAAGATGTTGCTAAAATATGTGGGTTGGTTGTACATATGACAAGGGTGGATATGACATTTGAGTAGTGGCTCAACTAAAACACTAAAATTAGTTGGTTCGTTAAATTTGYATCAAACAAAATCGATCAATATGTTCGTTCGATATGGCATATATTTTTAGAATACGATGGTTCGTATTACTGTATAATTAACTTCTTTGAATTATTTATATTGCATCAAAATGAATCCAACTTTCATCTGATTTTTATTTTGGAGAATCAACTTTCAAAATTGTCATTTAGAGGTCTTTATCGAACTTTTTATTTATTTAAGGGTCTGGTTGACCTGTTAATGCTGGCATCATCTAGGTCTTTTGCCAACTAAAATATTTCACGTCATATTAATTTTTTATTTTAAAATAAAACTAATATTTCACGTCATATTAATTTTTTATTTTAAAAAATTATTGTAATCGAATTTATTTTTCATTCCAAATCTCGTTTTTTTTAAAAAAAATCGGATATCAAATTGTGAATAAAGAAGTCCATTTTTAAAAAAATCTTCAATTTGATATCTGAATTTAAAAAAACGATATTTGAAATGAAAAATAGATTTTATTACAATAATTTTTGAAAAAAAAAGAATTTTAGTTATTTTTCTATAATTATTTTGCAAATCCAAAATATGACGGGGAATATTAGTTTTAAAATAAAATTTTAATATGACGTGGAATATTTTGGTTGGCAAAACATCTGGATTATGATCATTCACGGGTTAACCAGACCCTTAAATAAACAAAAAGTCTGATAGAGACCCCTAAATGACAATTTTGAAAGTTGATTCCCCAAAATAAGAATCAGGTGAAAGTTGGTTCCCAAAATAAGAATCAGGTAAAAGTTGGTACCATTTTAGTGCAATTTTCTTTTTATAAATGTGTACTTTTTATATATTTAATACTTAATATATGTTATACCCATTTACATGAATTCTGTTACTACTTACATAGACCATTTAATACTCTGATAGGCTATATTATCCTATTATTGCGATTGTATAATATCCACCACGTCGGTCCACTGTTTGCTGACGGTCATGTTGGTTTCAGTCTCAACGATTGCCATATACCATCGTTGCCCTAAGCTCTCTACTTGTTATCGTAACTGTTGCCCTAAGCTCTCTATATGACACTTTTGAGAAATGTCTTATGAACATATCTTTTTACAGAAAGCTTGTTTTTATCAGACATTTTTTTCAAATAATATCATATAAAATTTAGTAAGACATCTTATCATAAAAGCGTTCTAAATTTTCTGTTAAGACGTCAACAGCTTCCTATAAACATATTGTGATGCTTTTATACATCACAGATAATTGTTCGGTCTTATAAACTTATGTTTTATAAAGCAGTCTATTAAAATATTTTGACATTCTTCTTTTTATCTCTTTTATAATTTTAATTGTATAGTGCCCTTACAATGATGGACCGAGATTCTCAAAGTCTGTCATGGAAAAATCAAAACTCGAACGAGACATGATGTGCCGAAGGAACTGATCAGATGAGGTAGTAAGGAGAATGTCGTCAACATTAGGTTTAATTTTGAATTTTAGATTTGTTTTAAGGTTTTGATTTTTTTTGAGAGATGGATTTTTAGGCGTGTGTTAGTTGAAAACACAACCGAAGCCAAGAGATAGGGGTTGCGTTTTTCCTATTGTTCTTTTTAACTGCTTTACATACTTACTATAAGGGTACTCGTGTAATGCAGCGAGATACATCAATTTTAATGTTTCGTTTTATTTTGTCCTCTGTCAATGTTATAATACAGTTTTATATGGTTTTGAGAAAAACGATAACGTTTTTATTTTTGAATAAAATATAAATTTGAATATATTTTAAAAAAAATTTAAAAATATATCGATATTAGTATCAAGTTAACTATTTAAAAGTTCTTGTTTTGGTGTGTAATTTCTTTAATTCAACTTTTTTATTATAATTTAATTTAGGTTTAAAAAGAAAGTAATTTATTTTTGACATAATATAATTTTTTATAAAGATAATAATTAAGTATTATGTTATAAGACAATGATTATCCTAATTATATTTTATATTTTTTATATTTATAATGAAATGTTTATCCAGTATTTGATTATGTTTATCTGTAGTTAGTTACATGAAATCAAGTATGGAGCTTTAATAAGTTGTACTTATGCATTATTTATTTGTAATATTGAATTTTAAGTAATATGCATCAATAAACAGTACTTCATGTATAAAAAATGTTTTTAAGAGTTTTTGTCAAATGCTTTTATAATATAGTATAGATAATATTTAGTATTTTGAATTCAATGATTATCCTAAGTATATTTTAAATTTTTTATATTTAAAATGAGATATTTATCCAGAATTTGATTATGTTTATCTGTAGTTAGTTACACAAATTCAAACATGGAGCTTTAATAAGTTGTACATACGAACCATTTACTTGTAATCTTGAATTTTAAGTAATATGTATCAATAAACAGTACTTAATATATAAAAAATAATTTTAAGAGTTTTTATCAAATGTTTTATAATATGGTATAGATATACGTGTTTTATGTTAGAAAAATACTGCAAAAAATTAGAGACAAACAGATTAGGATGTGATTAAGATTACTATCCTTAGAATAATATTAGCCCCCTATATGTTGTTAGGTTATGGCTAATTTATTCCCAGGATTAACCCAATCTAGATAAATGATACAACAAATCATACATCTCTATGAACATCTATATCGTTGCAGAAATTGAAGAGGAGAACAAGGAAAAATGGAACTA